CCCAAGTGTAAAGCTCCCAGACCTCCGCCGCAGCGACCTCGCCGCCGCCGAGCAAACACTTCTAGAAAAAGGCGGGGGGTGCTTGGGGAGTGCGGGCAGGGGAGGGCAGCTGCCATGGCTGCTTTCCCCTCGCGTGTGGGAAGGACAGGTCTGAGACACGGTTAAGGTGATGCAAAGGGGAGACGGCCAGAGATGGGCAGGAAGGAAAGCTGGCCGGTTCCCTTCAGAAACTGAACGACTCAAGTGCTCACTGGTGGAAGGCAGCTCGGCCCGTTTTCTACAGGATGGCCAGTGCAGGGTTTAAACCAAAGATAAAACCGTGGCTCCCCTCAGAGCAAAACAAACTGGGGAGAATTGTTATGGAGGGAGGGATTGAAACCAACATCCCACTAAAGTTCTTAACTTCTGTTTTCGTTTTCTGAAGGCTAGATACCTGATTTTACTGAAAGTGTAAAGAAAAAAGATTTTTTTCTCAGAAGCATAACGGATTTGGATGAGCCATAACAGAAAATAATTCTTGGAGTGATAAAAATTCAAACGCTTGTTGTTTTGGCATTTAAAAAATTGTTCTCAATTCCACGAAAATACTTATTAAATTTTTTCGCAAGAAACTGCCGAGATCAATACAAATTTCTTTCCGTGCAGGCCAAAGTAGGAGACCTGCAGCCCAAATTAATTAACCTTTCCACAAGATCAATTGGTTTTCTGTTGATTTAGCAGTAATATTGTAGAACATTTAGCTATAATGTATTTTAATGTGACACCTCAATATATCAAGAAGAAAAAACTCGTTGAAAAATAAAATTGCTTAAATTATTCAATAGGTATTTCATACATTTGTAAAAGTGTTTTACCTTCAAAACTTAAGTGTTAACTTTATTTGAACTGTGGTAGTGTGTTTTCCAACTAACTGAAGTTAAGATAATGCCTAGTTACTTAAATATAATTATGTGCAAAAAGGTGATTATTTTTAGCTGCTTTGAGCTAAATAGGTGACCAAATCTTGCTGAAATTTAAAAATAAAAAATCCCGAACGGAAAAAATTAATCTTTCTCTGATGAGTGTCTAAAGAATCATTAGATACCCATGAGAGTAAGAATGTAAGAAAACGGAATGACTTGTTTAGAAATAGAAATTCATTTTGGGAAAATAAAAGGTTTTATAAAAGTAGCTGTTCATCCAAGTTTTATTTTATACCCATGATGCTCCTTAGTGTATCCAAATAACATTTGACAACACAATACTTTAAATCTTCTGAAGTTTTTCTTACAAATAGCCTGCGTCTGGGGGACATAATGGTGCCACTGGTCTAGTTCTCTCTTTAGCTCCCAGCCCGGCTTGGTTCTTCGAACTTGGGCCAGCTAGGGCTGCAGCCCTCACCTGTTTGTCTCCTCTAGCCATCATTCTAAAAAGCAATATGGGGCTGGAAAATGCCCATGCAGGTTCTTTTTTAACTCACACAACGCATGCATCTTCCTATTATAAACGTTTTAAAACACCTGCCGAGTGGGGGAGTCCTCCCTTGCTACCTTCCTTTTTCCATCTAGCTTCCTGCAGTTGTTAGCTGGGACCACACAAGCGTTAGCGCAAAGTGCCCAGTGAGGGTGAGCTCTCCTCCCTCTTCGAGCCCGCGGAAGTGAGTGGCTCCCTTCTTCCAGGT